TGGAAGGACGGAAACACTTCCCCAGTAGGTTTCAGAGGGCAGACAGGAGTTCAGTTTGGGATGTGTCAAATTTGATAGTAGAAATATTGAAAAGGCCACTGAATATATGAGTATAGATATGACTCAGAAAAGAGTCTGGCCTAAAAATGTAAATTTGTGAGTTTTCAGCATAAAAAATGGTAGCTAAAGCCACGAAACTGACTGATAGTATTTGGGAAAGTCTAAACAAACTATAACAGCTCCAAGATAATGAAATGCATCAAGCCTGGAATAATTAAAGAATTCTGGTCATGAGAACATCATTTTATTTATCCCAAACACTTGAAAGGTATCATATAGATATAATATCCCTTTAAATGTTTACTTGGTCTTGTGATATGCAGACTGATCCCATTTTTCTTTAGGCAGTGAAGCAGCTGAAGCCAGGGGCGTGGTGGGTTATGGTACATACGCCATCACACTGGCGGAAAATGAAGACCAGGTCGCCTGGGCCCTCACATCTCCTGACATTCACCTTCAGCCACAGGTAAGAATACTTTTAGTTTTCTCCGTGTAATCTGATACAGCACAGAAACTAAGCACGGTGATAAACACAGGGTCTTATACGAAGAAATATGTCAAGTAAAACTTCTGAAACAAACACTAAAATAAAAAAGAACGTGTCTCTAATTAGATCCACTTTCCTGCCCATTGAGAATTTTCATGTCCTGACAAAGTTTTCCTCTTGTTCATTCCTTGCCATTGTGTTAAAATGCAACACAGCTCCAGGGTATTTTTGTCACCTGTTTCTTTCACTCGTAGCTTTCGTTCATGTTACTCAGAAATTTGTTTCCAAAAGAATTTTTTTCCCTCCCACTTCTGTATTCTTCTGATATGGAAAATATTGAGCGTTTTTTCTCATGTCATATCAAAGCCCAAACAGGCTTTAATAACTGGGATATCAAAAGACTAGCCAAGGGGAAAAAAATCTTTGTACTTTTGGAATTTGCAGTAGATACAACTCAATTTGTCTTTTAAGTTAAATTGTACACAGGCACACTTATTAATTATAGGATGTTTGCCCATATTTATTCATTTTCCTGAAGCAGGAACCACAGATTAAAGAAGGAATGATGGATGCTGGCCTATTAGTTGAACAATGTAAACAACAGATGCAGCCATTTGCCATTACAGGACACCGACACTGATTCTCTGAGATGCCAGAATGTGGTTTGACTGGCAAATAAGAATTGTATAGGTTTTTTTTATTGTAAATTTGTAAAATGCAAAAGCACACAGAAGGATCCTTAGAAATAAAAATTCCAAACATTTGCTCTGTGGGTTCATTTTTGGTTTTTTTAACCAAACTGTCATCAGGCCAAGTAACTGATGGCACGGTTGTTCAGGAAACAGAAAAGGCTGCCAGCTGTTTCACCAGGTCAAGAGACGCTACTTCACAGAGGAAGCAGTCAGGGGGGTTATGAAATTATATTTTGTGTTTTTAAAGTAATTTTTTCTTTATGGATGTAGCATAGTGTAAAGACAAAGGAGATGCCTATAGATGTCCGGAACATATTTTCATTTGGGATCTTGTGTTTTAATTTGTAAAGAATGCAAGTCATTTTTAATGTTAAAATCAGTGAATCTAACAAAAGGAATAAAATTAGCAATATTTAACTTGGTGATAAAAATGTTTTCCAGGGCGGGCCAGTGGTGCAGCAGTTAAGATAGCATGTTCTGCTTCTGCGGCCCAGGGTTCACTGGTTTGGATCCTGGATGCAGACATGGCACCGCTTGTCAAGCCATGCTGTGGCAGGCGTCCCACATATAAAGTAGAGGAAGATGGGCATGGATGTTAGCTCAGGGCCAGTCTTCCTCAGCAAAAAGAGGAGGATTGGCAGCAGATGTTAGCTCAGGGCTAATCTTCCTCAAAAAATAAATAAATTCATAAAAATAAATAAAATAAATAAAAAATAAATGTTTTCCATTCCTGAGTTCCTAAGTACTAGTTCCTTAAGAATGCAGGCCATGGAAGTCTAACATTTTCCATGTGCCATCGCCGAGCTGAGTGGCTGACTTCTTCCGCTTACTATTTGGTAAATCAACTCTCTTTCAAATAAGTCTAGGCCTTTTCTAAATGACAGTCTGCCTTCACTATGTTTACTTTTTTTTCATCCTCTTACACTAAAACTAAAATGAATATTATCTTCACTCTGTAGATTAAAAATATGAGCATATTCCACAATTTGGGTACCTTTTTTGGAACATATATTCTACAAGTTATTAGAGATGTGATTGGTGAGAAACAGAAAACCAGCTTCTGACAGCTGGAAACTGATGTTCTGTTGAACATAAACAACTTCACAGACACCAACAGCAAAGTGACTGTGACTATGACGGATCGCGACAAAGACCACTTAATCAAATCCGAAATCAGACAAAAACAAGAACACCACTCAAACTGCAAAAGTGACCAACATCCCCCTATAGTGGCCAATATAAGTGGCTGCTTTTTAAAAAAATTAATTATAACCTTAGGCTCACTTCATCCTACCTGCTTTTTAGATAAGATATATTAAAATACTCAAAACTCAGCCATAATTTAAAGGCTGTCTTGCATAGTATTAAATACATCTAACTGTTTTGTTAACTTTCATTCAAATCACCCCAAAATTCCCGAGGCTTGGGCATATAAAGTGGACAACTGGAAACAATTAGCTAATAGTTTCTCTTCTTTTCTTCATTGATTTCCATTAGGAATTTCCCACAACTATTTGTTGTATTCATCAAGACAGCAAGGGCTCTTGAATCAGGTCAGATCTCTAGAAGGCCTCTTCCTTGAAGGAGCCTTTCTTGAACGCCCTTCCCTGAGGTTGGGTTAGGCATTTATCTCTCTCTACGACCCCTGCCCCCCCCCCCCGCCCCCCCGGGCTCAGATCTACAGACATAATGGGAAGATCACTAACATCAGTGATCAGCATTGCCTCTAAGAAAGCAGCTCCACAAGTGTGAACTGTTGTTAAATATTTAACATATTCAAAACTATGAGAATCATTCCTAAAATAGCAATTAATACCACTAATAATAAATAGTGCAGGAGCCAGCTCTTTGTTTTACATGAATAACTTTAAACCAGGATTGTTGAACAGTTCAGTGCCGCTGACAGTGAATATTTATTGAACAGGAATGCACAGCAGACTGTTAAAAATGTGGCACTGTCCCCAAGTACACTATGACTAAGACAGCCTACATTTAGCAGCACCTTTTTCTAACAGTAACCCAAAGCAGCAGTAAGGAAAGAGCATAGGGAAAGCTGAAATGGGTTTGATTTAAAAAACATAGAACTATTAAGAACATTTCCAGAATTTTCTAGGTTGACTACAAAAATCATGATTCTACAACTGAGTAGGTTAAGATAAAGCCTTCGCTGTGGGAAAAGATTATAATTTTACATTCCCAAAGTCAGTAACCATCCCAGTGTCCTGGGGATTATTTCCTCATTTACAAATTCAGTACACAGTTTACACATGTGCCCCCTGTACAGTCATCACCTACAGATGCTCTTACGTCAAATCTTGCAAAATAGTTTTTTAAGGAATACTCTGATTTGGACTAACATGCTTCACAGTAGAGTGAAAAACTAAGAACCCAGGTACAAAATTTAAAAAATGGAATCCGTCAGCATGACTCCTTGAAAGGGATTAATGGTAGCAGCAAGCAAGATGAACACCAGTTAAACTTCAAGAATATTCCAAAGTTATTAGTCGGAAGGAAATATCACGTCGGAAAGGATGGGGCTGGTGATCAGTGACATCTTACTGTGATGGAAAGTTTATCATTTTATAAAAGTAACTTTAATTGGAATATGGTTTCCCAATGATGTGAATTTTTACATCAAAAATATATATATGATGACTACCGTTTTTATAGTCAATAAACACATTTATGTCAGCAGCACAGAACTAATGAACAAGTAGACGTTTCCCAAATTAGCTGATAAAACACTACATATGTAACGCATTTTTAAAACTCTTTGAGTTCAGGTATCACTAGGTGCTTTCTGCTTGGCTTCGCTAAAACCCCAAAATTCGTAATTTGGATCCTGGGGCACCAAATGCCTCCTCCCCTGACTCTCCATGTACCCCACACATCACGTCTCTCCTGCACCTTCTCCCAGCCTGAAATGCTCAATTTCTCCCCGCCTCGTGGACTCCTCTGCGTCTCCGAAAGTTGGTGTCCACCGGGAGCCCTGCCTCCAGGTGTCCCCTCCGTGCCCAGACCCTGCACCCCGGATTCCAGCCGTGTCCACCGGGGGCCCTGCCTCCGGCTGTCCCCTGCCTGCCCGGACCCTCCACCCCGGATCGAGCCGCGTCCACCGGGAACCCTGCCTCCGGCTGTCCCCTGCCTGCCCGGACCCTCCACCCCGGATCGAGCCGTGTCCACCGGGAACCCTGCCTCCGGCTGTCCCCTCCCTGCCCAGACCCTCCATCCCGGATTCGAGCCGTGGCGCAGCTCCATCCTTCTCACCTTGGTTACAGAAGTGGCTCCATAGCTCAGGGAAGATGAGCCCCATCATGAGCACCTGGCGGGGGCGGTGCTCGGCAGCAGGTGCCGCTGGGCCGGGCCCCCACCGTGGCGCTGGCTGCGGTGAACCGAAAAGCCGCCTGAGACCGCGCGGCGGGGGCACTGGGCGACCGAGAAGCCTCGACTGGCCGCTCAGCTAGCCGTCAACAGGCGCCGCGAAGATTCCCGTCCGGCCTGTCCTTCGTCCGACCCCACTGAGCCCAACGCCGACCCGTAGTCCCCCTGCTCTAAACCCAGCTACCCACCGGCGTCGCCGCCACAGCCAGGCCCCGCCTCCGCCCCGCCTCCGCCCCGCCTCCGCCCCGCCTCCGCCCCGCCTCCGCCCCGCCTCCGCCCCGCCTCCCCTCTCGCTCCCGCGACCAGCCGTAGCGGGAAAGACAGCGCCCGGCGCCTGCGCGCTTACGTCGCACACGCCCCCCACGGGGCGTTTCCTTCGGCGTCACTTCCGGTGAGCGGGCTCCAGGCTGCCACGCGTGGAAGGTGGGTGCGCGCGGAGTTAGGCGGTGACCGTCGGTGAGCGCTTCCTCTCCGCCCTCTTCGGAATCTTTCGTTGGCTCGCTTTCTCGAGTCTCCGCGGCCTGCCGGGCGCCTCCCGTTTAAACTATCTGCCCACTTCCTATTGCCTCTTTCTGTAGGCAATCCGTTATCTTTCTACTGCTGTGACACCGTTTTCCCAAATTATGGTCTAAGAGAGGTTTCCTCAGGAAAATGCGACGTGTCAAAATTGCGAGCTGGGGCAAAATTATGTTCATTTTAGAAATTTTGGGAAACATTATGTAGGTAGAAGAAATAAAGTTCACTTATCCTATTCTCCAGGGATAATGCCGTTAACTTTTTGTATTTCATTTCTTTTTTCTGTTGTGTTTTTATAATTATGGGATCATCCTATATTTGCTGATGTAGATTCTGCTTCGTTCATTTAATAGTCCTATGAACTTTTTATGTCTTACGTTTTCTATATTTTTGAGGACTACAAAATGTTCATTGTGTAGTGTCCCATTGTTGGACATTATTTCCAATTGTTGTTGCTATAAACAGCACCATTTTTACTATTTGTGTTGCTAAATCTTTGACTGCTTTGTCAAGTGAAATTGCTGGGTCAGTAGTGAAGGACATTTTGGGGCTTGAAAAGTAGCTAAACTCTAGAAGCCACTGTTGAGCTTAAGAGTAATGGTCTCAAAGACAGAATTGGTGTTCTTTACCTGTGATGTACCCTCAGTAGTCCTGTTTTTGCCTTCACTGACTGCTCGTTATTGCTTCACAAACATTTCACTCTCCTTAAGCATCTTACCTCATCTCTCCTCTTACCCCCTTTGCTGTGTGGTGACTTTGCTGTCATCAGGTCTTGCTCATTCAAACATCCACCCCGCAATGCAAGCAAAAATCCTTTATTTAACTTCCTTCAAGCTACTGACATCTTTTCCCTTTGCTTTGAGACTTCTTGAAAAAGTACTTTGAACTTATAACTGTACTCGCAAAACTTTTATTTGCACTACATCCCATCATAGTTTAGCTACTACTTTCACCATTTACAGACTTATTTTGCCATATTTTGTTGAGTTCCTTACTACTAAATATAGGCCTTTTAAAAAATCCACATCTTTTTCAACTTTTCCTTAACATTTGATCTTGCTGAACATTCACTACTTTCAAAATACTCTCTTAAATTGCTACATCGATGATGGTATTTTTCTCTTTCCGTTTTGCTGGCCCTTTTTATTACCAACCCCTTAAATATTGGGTATACTGTGCATTTATCCTTAATGTAATTTTCATTGTGCAGTCTCCCAGGTTATGTTACCCATTTTCATATCTTCAGGTAATATCTCTATATATCTATATTCTGATAACTCCCAAACATCTCTCTCTAAAATTTTAAAGTAATTTATCTAGTGGCTTGTTAAAATACCCCTCTAGATAGGCTCCAGGGACCTGAAAATTAAGACGTCTGAAACTGAGCTACTCCCCCAGATTCTAATATATCTGACTCTGGGTCCAACCAGGAGAAAGAAACCACACAGTCATGTGATCAGTGAAAATTTAATATAAAAAATTGGTATAACTTTGTAGTTTAATATTTTTAAAAACCTATTTTTACAGGGGATTGGAATGACTACGGATTGGCTAATAATAAGGAAAGAAACCTTTAAAATTTCTATGACTAGCAGATTCCAGGAGCAGCTAATCCTCCTGGGACTGAGATGGAGCATCCCAGGAAGAGTTCTCCTCCCTGGGGCTGAGGTCCTGACCTTGTGGGGGAGGGCATGGCCTTGGCTCACTGAGTGGCAGAGAAGTCACTGGTGCCAGGCCAGCTGAACTTGGTGGAAATCTGCCCCCTAGGGTACCAGGGAAAGCTGTTCACAGGCATGTGTCTCACTGGAAAAACTGCTCCAAAACTGCCTGGTGAAGGAGTGGTGCCACGGGAAGCTGCTGGGTACTGCTGGCCACTGCGCTGCAGGAGCCAGGCTTTGGAGAAGCTGCATAAGCTGCAGGAGCCAGATGCTGGAGAAACCATGTGTGCTGCAGACAGGAGCTCGCTGAGTGAGCACTCTAGAACCAGGAACAAACCCTCTTTCCTCCTGCAGTGTCTCTCGAGTGCCCTCTACTGACACAGCTTGACATCGTGCCAGCTGGCAAAGGAAAAATACTTAAAGGGCCCACATCCGTGTTCATGGCAACAAGAGGGATGAATAGGAGCTGAGAGACAACAGTCGAAAACCAGCACATCCATCCAGCACCCTTCTCCCTCCCATCTCTCTTACTCTACCCGTGTCTTCAAGTGTCTCCTCTCTGTGATTTGTTATTTCCATCCTTCTTAGTTAGGGTTTAGTTCAGCCTCAGACCATTTTTCTCTTCTTCCATCAGCCTTCCCTCACCCAGTTTATTTTCTTTATCTTCTATTTTCTTACTATAAAACAAAACTAATCATATTAGCTCTAGAATTAAATTCAGACAAGACTCTTCACAATTTGGCCATAGCCCACCTTTCTAGTCCCTTCTTCCATCGCTAAACTTTTTACTACATCTCAAACATTCCGGCCCTTTGATGACTTTTTGCCCCCTTCCGCAAGACTTTCTCCCTCAGCATATTGCTAATTAGCTGTTACCTCAGTGACTTCATCATACTTAGGAAATTGGTTTCTCTGTGTTCTCTCGTCTACTTTTTTTTTATATATCTCTGTAATAACAGTTACCATGTTGTATGATAATTACCATGCTTATATATACATTATTTCTCTCTGTGGTCTGAGGACCTGACCCGATCAGTAAGGGGAATAATTCTCTTTCTTCATTAAGAATCTGCATTTCCATTTTGAAGTCTATGTGTTGTAAGTGGGTTTTTTGGTTTTTAATTTTATTTTTGTTTATTTATTTTTTGGTGAGGAAGATTGGCCCTGAGGTAACATCTGTTGCCGATCTTCCTATTTTTGCTTGAGGAAGATTGTTCCTGAGCATTATAATATCTGTGCCAATATTCCTCTATTTTGTATGTGGGACACCCCCACGGCGTAGCCTGATGAGCTGTGTGTATGTCTGCACCCAAGATCTGAACCTACGAACTGCAGGCTGCTAAAGCAGAGCATGCAAAGCTAACCATCATGGCACCAGGCTGGCCCAGGTTTTTCATTTTAAAAAATAACTTTTAAAAAGCAGCTCTTGAATATTGTTGTCTTTCTGTTTCCATTATAATATGATTTAAGTTGTATAGTTTTTAGAAGTTTAAAAAGCACTTTTAAGTATTCTATTTCATCATGCCTGTAGCTATCTTACTATGTGTGTTAGGCTAAATAGGTGAGCAAGGCATGATGTCTTCCATTGACCCATACCATCTGGTTTTGAAATAGGCAGGGCATATTTTTTGCTCGTTTCACTAATGAGAAAATGGATTCTAAGAATATGAATGACTTCTCACAAAGCAAGTAAGTGACAAACCCCTGAATGTCGATCCAGAGCTATAAAATCTGTGGATCTAACTTTACATCAAGAAGTTGATACATTACTTGTTCCGTTTATTTTTGCTCTTCTTACTTGAAGTTCTAGCTTCTTGTTACTGGTCTTTATTGTCTTCCTATCAGCTCATGTGGACAGGAAAATAACTCACCCCTATCCAATTTTAGTTACTTTAGAACTGTTTCAAGGTGAGTGCATTTTCTTGCCTGGTTTTCACACATTTTGACTTTGTTCAATTTCCCTCCTTAGGATAAGTTAGAGATGGGTAACTGCAGAACCTCTTGGTTCAAAGAAGGATCTCAGCACTGAGGCCCAAGGGGGGAGATGTCCCGTGGTGACAGAGCACACACTTTCTCTATCAAATGGGCTTCTGTCTATGGGCATTAAGGACTGGAACAAAGCTTTAAAGCTCCATGGGCTGATGTTACCATTGGGAATATGATTTTTTCACATTTGTCAAACCTCACATGACTGACTTCAGTAAAATTACAACTATACAAATATTTACACCAACTTATTTTTTAAATGTTAGAAAGAAAAAGGAAATCAATACATTTGTTAAATTTTAAAAATCTGTATTGTTTCACCTGATGATAACTCTTTAAGTTAAATATCTTGATAATATTGCTTACTTGGTTGATGTAATCTTTTACAGCTTGAACTGAACTTAAGGGCCCCTGGATTATCTGAATGAAAAGTTGGGCAGATTGATCAACTTGTAAACAGTCTACTTCCTGGATTTTGTAAAGACAAAAACATTCCTTCCCCCTGGCATACATCTCATGTTTCTGCACAGTGCTTCTTTGAAAATAAATATGGTAAGTTAATATATTTTTGTTACAATTAAAATAAGCCATTTTACACTTCATAATGGTAAAGGGAACAATCCAACAAGAGGATATAATGCTTGTAAATATCTGTGAACCCAACATAGGAGCACCTAAATATATAAAGCAATTATTAGCAGACATAAAAGGAGAACTAGTAACACAATAAGAGTAGGGGGTTTTAACACTCCACTTACATCAATGGGTAGATCATCCAAACAGAATAGCAATAAGGAAACATTGGCCTTAAATGACACATTAGACCAGATGAACTTAGTAGATATATACAGAACATTCCATCCAAACACCACAGAATACACATTCTTTTCGAATGTGCATGGAACATTCTCCAGGATGGATCACATATTAGGCCACAAAACAACTCTCGATAAATTTAAGAAGATTGGAATAATACCAAACATCTTGGCTGACCACAACAGAATGAAACTAGAAATCAACTACAGGAAGAAAATTGGAAAAGCCACAAATATGTGGAGATTAAACAAAATGCTACCTAACAACAATTGAGTCAATGAAGAAGTTAAAGGAGAAATCAAAAAATACCTGGAGACAAACGAAAATGAAAATGAAAATATGACATGCCAAAATTTATGGGATACAGCAAAAGGGGTACTAAGAGGGAAGTTTATAGCAATACTGGCCTCCCTCAACAAAGAAGAAAAGTCTCAAACAATCTAACAGTGCACCTAAAGAAACTGGAAAAGGAGAACAAACAAAGCCCAAAAGCAGTACAAGGAAGGAAATAATAAAAAATCAAAGCAGAAATCAATGAAATATAGACTTAAAAGACAATTGAAAAAAAATCATTGGAACAAAGAGCTAGTTCTTTGAAAAGATAAACAAAATTGACAAACCTTTAGCTAGATTCACCAAGAAAAAAGAGAGAAGTCTCAAATAAATAAAATAAGAAATGAAAGAGGATAAATTACAATGGACACCTCAGAAATACAAAACATTATAAGAGAATACTGTGAAAAACTGTATGCCAGCAAATTGGATAATCTAGAAGAAATGGATAAATTCTTAGAACCATATAACCTTCCAGAACTGAATGAGGAAGAAATAGAGAATTTGAATAGACCAGTCACCAGTAAGGAGATTGAAACAGTAATCTAAAACCTCCCAAAAACTAAAAGTCCAGGATCAGATGGCTTCCCTGGGGAATTCTATCAAACATTCAAAGAAGACTTAATACCTGTCTTCTCAAACTCTTCCAAAATACTAAAGAGGAGGGGAAGCTCCCTAACTGGTTCTATGAAGCCAACATTACCCTCATACAAAAACCAGATAGGGAAAGCTCAAAAAGAGAAAATTACAGGCCAGTATCACTGATGAACAATGATGCAGAAGTCCTCAACAAAATACTAGCAAATCAAATACAATGGTATGTTAAAAAGATCAGACAACATGAGCACATGAGATTTATTCTAGGGATGCAGGGATGGTTCAACATACACAAATCAATCAAGGTGATACAGTACATTAACAAAATGAAGAATAAAAATCACATGATGATCTCAATAGATGCAGAGAAAGCATTTGACAAGATATGGCATACTTTTATGATAAAATCTCTGAATAAAATGGGTATAGAAGGAAAGTACTTCAACATAATAAAGGCCGTGTATGACAAAAACACAGCTAATATCATACTCAGTGGAGAAAAACTGAAAACTATCCCTCTAAGAACAGGAAACAGACTAGGATGTGCATTTTCACCACTCTTATTTAGCATAGTTTTGGAAGTGCTATCCAGAGCAATCAGGCAAGAAAAAGAAATAAAAGGGTTCCAAACTGGAAAGGAAGAAGTGAAACTGTCACTTTTTCCAGATGACATGATTTTGTATATAGAAAACCCTAAAGAACCCACCAAAAAACTTTTAGAAATAATAGATGAATACAGTAAATTTACAGGATACAAAATCAACATACATAAATTAGTTTCATTTCTATACACTAACAACAGAGTAGCAGAAAGAGAAATTAAGAATACAATGCATTTACAATTGCAACAAAAAGAATCAAATACCTAGGAATAAATTTAACCAAAGAAGTGAAAGACCTATATGCTGAAAACTGTAAAACATTGTTGAAAGAAATTGAAGAAGACACAAGGGAAAGATATTCTGTGCTCTTAGATTGGGAAAATTAACATAGTTAAAATGTCCATACTTCCGTAAGCAGTCTACAGATTCAAGGCAATCCCTATCAAAGTTCCAATGACATTTTTCACAGAAATAGGACAAAAAATCCTAAAATGTATATGGAACAACAAAAGACTCTGAATAACCAAAGGAATCCTGAGAAAAAAAAACAAAGCTGGAGGTATCACAACCTCTGATTTCAAAATATACTACAAAGCTATAGTAATCAAAACAGCATGATACTGGCATAAAAATGGACATACATATCAATGGAACAGAATCGAGAGCCCAGAAATAAACTCACACATTTATGGACAGCTAATATTTGCAAGGGAACCAAGAATATGCAATGGAGAAAAGAAAGTCTCTTCAGTAAACGGTGTTAGGAAAACTGCACAGCCGCATGCAAAAGAATGAAAATAGACTGTTATCTTACACCATACACAAAAATTAATTCAAAATGGATTAAAGACTTGAATGTAAGACTTCAAACTGTAAAACTTCTAGAAGAAAACATAGGGAGTAAGCTCTTTGACATCAGCCTTAGCAGCATATTTTCAAATAACATATCTGGGGAAACAATAGAAAAACTAAACAAATGGGACTATGTCAAACTAAAAAACTTCTGCACAGCAAAGGAAACCATCAATAAAATGAAAAGACAACCTAACAGTTGGGAGAAGATATTTGCAAACCATATATCTGATAAGGGGTCAATATCCAAATGTATAAAGAACTCATACATCTCAACAACAAAAAAACTAACAACCCAATTAAAAAATGGGGGAAAGATCTGAACATACATTTCAAAGAAGATATACAGATGACCAACAGACACATGAAAGGATGTTCAACATCATTAACTATCAGGGAAATGCAATCAAAACTACAATGAGATATCACCTCATGCTTGTCAGAATGGCTATAATTAACAAGACAGGAAACAACAAATGTTGGAGAGAATGTGGAGAGAAGGAAACTCACATACACTGCTGGTGGGAGTGCCAGCTGGTGCAGCCACTATAGAAGAAAGTGTGGAGAGTCCTCAAAAAATTAAGACTAGAACTATCATACCATCCAGCTATTCCATGGCTGGTTATCTATCCAAAGAACATGAAAACACGGATAGGTAAAGAAACATGCACCCTTATGTCCATTGCAGTGTTATTCACAATAGCTAAGACTTGGAAGCAACCTAGGTACCCATCAAGGGACAAATAGATAAAAAAGATGTGGTATTTATACACCATGGAATACTACTCAGCCATAAAAAAGATGAAATCTTGCCACTTGTGACAACATGGATGGATCTTGAGAGTATTATGCTAAGTGAAAATAAGTTAGAGGGAGAAAGACAAATACCATATGATCTCACTCATAAATAGAAGATAAAAACAACAAACAAACACATAGAGACAGAGATTGGATTGGTGGTTACCAGAGGGGAAGGGGGCAGGGAGGAGGGCGAAAGGGATGATTAGGCACATGTGTGTAGTGATGGATGGTAGTCTTTGGGTGGTGAACGTGATGTAATCTACACAGCAATCGAAATGTAATGATGTATACCTGAAATTTATATAATGTTATAAACCAGTGTTAGCTCAATTAAAAAAACTACACTAGTAAAAATTTATTAATTTTAAGCCATTTTAATACTATTCATAATTCTAATAGATACTGTTGACTAACATTTACTATGTACCTGGTTCTTTCCTGAGTTGTTTTCTTATTTCTTTTTTTTTTTTTTTTAGTGACTTTTCATATTGGAAGAATTTTAGATTTACAGAAAATTTGCAAAGGTAGCACAGAGAGTTCCTATATACTCTTTATCTGGCTTCCCCCAATGCTGACTACTTACAGAACCATGGTACATTTGCCAAATCTAAGAAATTAACATTAATATAATACCTTTAGCGAAGCTATAGACTTTATTTAGATTGTACAAAATAAACCTTAATTTCACCAAATCACTACTTTTTCCGCTAGGGTCCATTTTCTGCTCCAGGATCTAGTGCAGCATACTACATAGCGTTTAGAATAGGGAGTGCTGTGGGTTGTTTTTTTTAATTTTAGATGACAAACATTTATTGGATTCCAAGAAACATACTAGTCTCTGAGAATACACTGAAGAAGCAGTCACGGCCCCTTGTCTTATAGAACGTCTGTGTGTGCTCTTACATGCGTCTGTAATGATCTGGTACCATAATAAGTGGGCAGTTTGTTTGAAAGGGACGTCAGCTTCGTGAGTTTCTTTTTGGATGATACTTAAACAAGGAATTTTAGAGGCTTATCAAAATACTTGTTTTATGCTGGTGAAAGGACAGATTTTTTAAATCAACGTGAGCTATAAAAGCCCGGGAATAACAGAGCAAGTTTGAATAATTTTGTGACGACGGTTTGATTTGAAGCTGTAATTTGTATAAACTTAATTCATTTACTAATTCTTCATTCTTCTTTTGCCTTTATTTCATATAAAGGCTGTAGGATAAATAAAGAATTCAAGAGTGAGAAAAAAGTTTTTGAGCTTGGACTAAAAATCCACTTGCATTTTATTATTTTTTATGCTACGCTCCCTCCTTCCTGAGGGGAGCTGTTAGTAATTTAGAGTGAGGAGGAGACTAGGACCAAACTCAGTCCTGCCCCCAGTGACTATGGGATTCACTTTCTTTCTCTAAATGGCTGTTTTCTCATGTGAAGTGTGAGGAGTAACTCCTTATCTCACTTTGGAGGATCAAATGAAATAATCTAAAGTGTTTGGTCCATAGTAAGTGTTCAGGAGAGTAAAATTTTTGTTACTATCGTTATTATTATGGTGTTATTATTACTACTGCTCTTCTGGGCTGCACATTACATTTTCTTTTAAGGTTGTTCCTCTTACTGCCAGCTGATTTTTTCACTTAGGCAGGCAGAGGTATTAAGAAGGGGCTTCTTGACTTGACTGTAAGGGTGCGTAGAAAAATCCCTGAATCCTAACTGCGATATCGGGATAGGTGAGAACCAGTGTCTATTGTTGCTGCCTACCTTTTCCCTGGGGTCATGGATGTAACCGAGGATGGGGCCCATTAGACAAGAGCGGGAGTTAGGAAGGATCACCGGAGTATTCATGGCCTCCAGCTATGGAAGAAACCTTCTTGGTACCCAATGACTATGGAAGCTTTGAGAGAGAGAGACCTCTGGTTTGCAGGGGTTTATCACATTGTTCACTAGAGTTTTTGAAATTGGCTCTAGGAAATAGCAATTCCTTATTTCTTTATGCTCTCAACTAAAAGTAACTGTAGACATTTATCTTTTACCTCTTGATTTGAATTTCGTTTCATAGTCAACTGTATTCGTATATCAGATAAAAGAGAGAATCTAAGGGACAAGTGATAGACATTAGAGTGATGAAGCATTGTAAATAGATTAGCAGTGCTTTTAGATTTTATAAAAGCAGAGTCATATATGGACAAATACAAGGAAAACTTGGATTTGGGTTTTTCTAATATATAACAGTTTGATCCTTTCTGGTCTTGCTCTTATGATTTGTTAGGTGCATCCAGAGCAGTGCTCTGCCTACGGCTAACTATTCCCCACTACTGAAGCATGACATTTCGAACTGTTCTAGTCATTGTCTTGTGAATTATGAATTTTTCCAGGCTGGCTAATGGGAATAGACACCATTCCTGGTGCTGTGTGAGCACCAGGCGCTGTTTCCTCTACTCTTTTCAGATGGATTTTCCCCCTGGTTGCTGGGAGTTTCCTTACCTGTATGTATTGTGCACTACCCTACTGAACACCCAGGGGTCCCCCCTGCAGATATCCAGGGTTCCTCCTCTCTTCCGCTTTCTACTCTCCAGTGTCCTGACCTGTGTGAACACCCAGGGGCCCTCTGCACATCTCCAGGTTTCTTCCTCTGTTCCGCTATCTACTCTCCAGTGTTCTGACCTGTGATCTCCATCTGCCTTGGTTTCACCAGACTCTCAGCTTCACCACCTCCACTCAGGGAGTCTGGTGGGCTCTACCTCAGTTCTGTCTCCCTGTGTGGTGGCCTGGACATTCTCTCAAGGCAGTGAGGTGGGCATTTGTTAGGCTAACTTCAGTTGTTTTGGGGGATCACTGTCCTTCATTGCCTGAAGTCCTTTGTCTTGAAAATCATTTTTATGTATTTTGTCTGTTTGGCTTTTGCTTGTTTCGGGTAGGAAGGTCAATCACTACCTGTTACTCCGTCTTGGCTAGAAGCAGATTGCAGTAGCCTTCGGCACGTGCTGTAGACCGTCTAGAGTGCCCTTCTTCCTCCTTTGATTCATTGCTTCCTGCTCATCCTTCATTTCTCAGTGTAGCCCTCTCTTCCTCAGGGAGGTCTTCCCTGGGCCCAGTCTAGATCAACTTCTGTTATGTGATCATAGAACTCTGTTTTCTTATAATATCTATCACATTTTATAATTGACATGTTATTTGTCTTTCTCCTCTTTAAGCTAAACAAGAGCCAGGGGTCTTGTCTGTTTGATCTGCAGAGCTTAGTGTAATGTCTTCCATGTTGCAGGTGCTCAATATACATTTGTTCAACATATGAATAAGAAAACGTGAAACTGCACAGTCCTTTATGCACAAAAAAATACCCATATTTTATTTCTATTTTTGTTTTCTCCCTGATGCAGATTCTGTTAGCCTATTGAAAATCCAGAATGCAGTTCTTTCACGTGAAAGATTAATAGAACGTAAAAAAGTCACCGTGAATTACTTGAAGTAAAAATTTAAAAAATGGAAAATAAGGTTAGTGGACTACAAAAGGGGCTGTCAGGAACCAAAGAAATGAAGTCACAGTTAGAGCATCAAAAAGTGGAATGGGAACGAGAAGTCTGCAGTTTGAGGTATTGAACATCTTGGTTTTAAGGAAATAATTGAACTATTTAGTTTTATACTACAGTAAATGTAGGAGAAGTTTTGTAATTGGTAACTTAACTTCTGGGATTTTACCAGTGGGAGAACTTCTTTAGTATTGTGGCGTATGAAATTCTTGGAAATAATACAGCAAGTTTTTAACATGAATACTTCTAATAATAATTTAATGTAATAATTTAATGTATATTCAGAAGAATATCATATTAATGACCATATAGAAGTCCATCATTTGGAAATCTGATTATTTACTTAGTAAATCAAATTTCGGTTGTTTTTCATTTTTCTGTATTATAATTAACGCTGCAAGGAATGTCTTTTATATAAATCTGTTTCCATATTTCTGATTATTTACTTTTAATAAATTCTTCAGTATAGTATTATCTGGCTAAAGTATAAGAACTCTTAAAAAAGATCTTTAATCCATATTTCTAAATTGTTCTCAAGGAAGTTTATATTAATTTACATTCCCATCAGAGTATGAAATGACCATTTTTCTCAAGACAGAAAAATTTTTAAATGTATGCCATTTTATTCTTCATATATGCATGGAATAAAAAGTAAAATGGACAGTGATTGCTAATTACTTTATTTAAAATCTCTCTCATATAGAGATAAAATTAATGCAAAGGTCTATATTGAAAGCACGTTAGTCTTTATTGCTTATTTAATTAGTATGGATTCTGTCTTATTCTAAAAGGGATTTTAAAATGATTTATAAAGTAGATAATAACCAACAAGATAAGTTGAAAGTGTTGCAAGGGAAGAAACATAGAAAGTGTGGGACCCCAGATAGCAGCTTCCCTTGCCTGGTCCTGGGTGACAGGAGCCTGCAGACATGTGTTGTGTAGACATCTGCAGCTGTCTTACACTGTAAGTCACTTTTAGTCAGTATTACTTCACTGTGATATTATGTGAAGTTGGAATTTTCTTTCTGGTGAATTTATGAACTTGTTTATAAACAAGTTCTCTTTTCAATTAGTAACTAATCTGTCCTAATAGAGTGCTAATTATGACTATGTGGAAAAAAGAGCAATTTTCAACTCTAACTTTACTGAATAATTTCAAAATTCCTTTCCTACAATATTTACCAGAGTGACTGTTGACTAAAACTAAGCAGCAGAATGTTTTTTCATTGCCACCTTTCAAGTATATATATCTTTTGGAGGAGATTGAAGTGAGGAATTAAAAACGAGACCTAGAAAGGAAAAAAATTGGAGAACATAGAAATTTCATTAGCCTAATAAACCAACATATGTAGAACCAGATCATAAAATGAAGTTTTTATTTTATAACAAAACTAATTTTAAGATAAGCATATTTAACTGTAGAATTTCCTTGAAACAAGAAGGGAAAAAGAGATGTTGATAAGTTATATGAAAAAATTAGGGAGCAGTTAAGAAGAAAAGAAGAGCAATGTAGTAAAGAAAATGAATTGAAACAATGACTTAAACTTGCTCTTGGAACGCTAGACATGGAATTGAGGACATAAGAAGTAATTTGAATCAGGTAAGCTAATCTTTGGTAAAAAATGCATATTTCTAACATTGTTTCATCAATATTATTTATAATATCCCTTTGAGTTAATGTATATTATTTCAGTTTTTAAAAAAACTAAAAATGTTATCTCATCCTAAATATGAACTGTGACATTTATAGCTGAAATTATTAATTTATTGCAATATTTGACATCTAATAGATGCTCTCTGTTTTCTGAATGGAGGAATGGAAGGTAAATTGAGCTTAATCATTAACATAAATGTTAATTTTGGCTGTGTTATTTTAAAATACAGACTAACTTGCCTTGAGACTGATGGAACTAGTTAAATGTTTTGTAAAGAAATTTTATTTCACAGTACTGTGTCTACCTGTATTTCTGCTCTGCGACAAATTTAGCTGTCATTTAAATACTTCCTTTTTTTTTTTTTTTTTAACATTCTACTCTTAAGCTTTTGACTCTTTTTAGTGATATGAGACCAAAAACCTAGTGAAATGTGTCTCTAGGTTGTAGAAGAGTGAAATGACACTCAGAGGCAACTTTCTCAAGAACAAAATGCCAGAATATTGCAAGATGGAATTCTGACCAATCACCTTTGCAAACAAAAGACGATAGAAATGGCTCATAAGAAAATGAACACTGAGGTATTTTCTTTAGTCGTTTTCAAATATGTGTGTGTGTGTATTTTAAAAAGCAATGCTATACATCTTGGAAAGTAGAGACGATTTTCAAAGCATATATATTTTGAGTGGGGGGGGGACATTTTTGGTCCATTGGGTAAAGTAATATTCTCAATTGAAATCCATTTGTCTGTAACGGTCAAGTAGTGATATTCACAGTGGCCTCATCTAAAGGAGAGGTTTTTAATGTTTTCCATAGGAGTTAATGAGCTTTCTAGAATTTCAAAACTTCTGCTGTTAACACAGATGTTCCAGTTTTGGGCAATGATTTCGCCCCCTCCATGTGTTAATAGAGAGTTTCGTTTGTCACTTCCACCGATGGTAAGGAGGAAAAGTATAGCCAGTTCAGAGACCATTCTCCTACTTTTGAGAAAATAACAATTTTCTCCAAGTACTATTCTATTTCAGTACAAGGAGCTTTTGAAAACAATGATATGCTATAATATATACTTAATGATAACTCACTGACAAATATTTTATTCCTAGTAAAATAGTGAAGTGTATTTTCCCCCTATTTCATATTTATTGCTATTTTAAACATGATGAAGAGGAAATAATAGTTATTGCAGCAGCAAGTAATCTCATGATTTTCTAAGAACTCTATAAATTTGACCTTATTTACCATAGCTTTGAAATATAAGCTTCTTTTGTATGTAACTGTTTCCAGTAGAGAAGTAGCTGTGGTTTGGCGCAAGAGCACTAGTAGTAGAGTCGGAAGCCCTGGGGAAATCAGCTTGCTCGTCTGCCAGAACTGTGACAACTCAGCGAGTTCACTGATGGATGTAGAAATATTTGGCACAATGCCCAAATTTATCAGTTGTCAGTAGATGGAATTTTTATAACCCACTATAAAAATGTTAGAAAAGTAGACTATCTGTGGAACATTCTCAAGGAAAAGGACTTTGGGAGATTTCAGCTGTCCAAATGTGTGCAGAGCTGAGGCTCCTACCCTCGGTCAGCTGGATAGGTTAGATATCAGCCTGCAAACTCAAGTTTTAATGTAGTCAGGTTTATCAGTCTTTTATTTTATGCTTTCTGGGTTTGTTGTAATTCAGAGAAATCCCTTTCCCATTCTGAGATTCTTAAAAATTCCTTCATGGATTCATTGTCTTCAATTAAATTTTTGAACTTTTGGGAATTTATGCTTATATAACATTTGAGGTTTGGATCCAACTTAGTTCTTTTCCACTTAGATATCCATTTACTGCAAACTTTTTATTGTATAAATATATAGGTCTATTCTTTAATTTCAGAGGAAATCATGATTTGTCATTTTATTGAATGCTAGCTACAAGTCTCCTTTGTTTTACAGAGGTTTCTAGTAGTCCTGAAAAAGAGAAAGATTTGCTGCATAAAAACCACATGTTGCAGGATGAAATTACTGTGCTAAGACTGGAAATAGGCACAGTAAGAAATCAGAACCAGGAAAAGGAAGGGAACTATTTTGAGGACATTGAACTGGTGAAAGAAAAGAATGATGATTGGTTTTTTTTTTTAAAGATTGGCCCTGAGCTAACATCTATTGCCAATCATTTTCTTCTTCTCCTCTTCTTCTTCCTCTTCTTCCCAAAGCACCCCAGTAAATAGCTGCATATTCCAGTTGCAGGTCCCTCCAGTTCTGCTGTGTGAGATGCTGCCTCAGCATGGCTTCGTGAGTGGTGCCATGTCCACGCCCAGGATCCAAATCGGAGAAACCCTGGGCGGCGGAAGCGGAGTGTGCGAATTTAACCACTGGGCCACAGGGCTAGCCCCAGAATGATGATTTTCAAAAGACAATAAAATTGAGTGAGGGAACATTAAAAAAAACAATATTCCAGGGGCTGGCCTGGTAGCACAGCAGTTAAGTTCACACATTCTGCTTCGGCGGCCCGGGGTTTGCTGGTTCCGATCCTGGGTGCAGACATGGCACTGCTTGGCAAGCCAGGCTGTGGTAGGCGTCCCACATATAAAGTAGAGGAAGATGGGCATGGATGTTAGCTCAGGGCCAGTCTTCCTCAGCAGAAACAGGAGGATTGGCAGCAGATGTTAGCTCAGGGCTAATCTTCCTCAAAAAAACAAAACAAAACAATATTCCAGTATAGTGGACAGCTGAGAATACAGTGCTAAACTCTAAACTGCAGACTGACAAACAAAGCAAAGAAAGACTAGAGACAGAAATGGTATCATAATGTTAGCTGCACAGAATTGGGGTTCTCTTGCCCAGTGTACATAAACGCCCAATTAATTACGGCATCAGCCTTTGGGAAAAGACATCAGCTTTATTCTGTGAGAGTGATCTCCAGGGAGAACAGGAGGCATTGGCCCTGAGATCTGTCTCCTGATTCAGGATTTGGGGCAATTTTAAGAGGTTAAGGTTTTAAGGTTGAGGAGAACAGACTGGCACATGGGAACACTGGTGGGGCACGTTTTGATTGGTTGGCTTCAAGCATTTACGGTGAGGTTTCGAACACTTATGATGGGTTCTAGACACTTTTAATGAGGTGGAGAAGGAATTTTAACCCTGGATCTTCCTAAATGAGGGACCCCTCACTTCTGATAAGAGTCTGACTTCCAAGTTCCAGTCGTGTCCCAGTCCTTGTTTTCTGTGGGAAGGAGGGTCTTTGGTTCCATGGTCATTTCGGGTCAAGATTTCTTTTGTGCATGCTCTGACTAGGTGACTTACAGATTTTCTGAAAGGCAATTCTTAGTCACTGCTGATAAGACATGGGATCAGTTGAACTGGCTCTGGAGGGCCTGCACTTACAATACCATTCTAGACTGGCTACTGCTATCCAGGATAAAGATCAAAGTCAGGGGCTGGCCCTGTGGCCCAGTGGTTAAGTTCACATGCTCTGCCTCAGCAGCCTGGGGTTCACTGGTTATGATCCTGCATGTGGACTTACATCAAGCCATGCTCTGGTGGCATCCCACATAGAGAAACTAGAATGGTTTACAACTAGCGTATACAACTATGCACTGGGGCTTTGGGGAGAAAAGAAAGAGGAAGATTGGCAACCGATGTTAGCTCAGGGCCAATCTTCCTCACCAAAAAAAGAAAGAAAGAAAGAAAAAGATCAAAGTCAGATATCACAAAGAGTCCTAAAACCTGCTCTCCAGAGAGCAAGAGACAGTGGTTCCATTTACAGGACAAAATGAATTTTGATAAATCTAACCTAAAGGTTAATAATGAGATTCTTTCTTAACTTTCGAAAGCTGAAAGTAAGGTCAATAGTGCAGAAGTTGAGCTCCATCAATCAAGAGATGTTCTCAGAGAGAAGACTTTGGTTTTAGAAGATGTACAAAGAGACCTCAGCCAAACACAGTGTCAAAAGAAGGAAACTGAACACATGTATCAGAGTGAACAAGGGAGAGTGTATAAATACATCAGGAAGCAGGAATCCTTAGAGGAGAGATTAGCTCAACTACAGAGTGAAAATATGTTGCTTTGACAGCAACTGGATGATGCTCACAACAAAGCTGATAGTAAAGAAAAGACAGTAATTAACATCCAACACCGGTTTCAGAATATTGTACCAAAACTTCAAGCCAAAAGTGAAAAACAAGGTCTTATGCTGGAAGAAAGAAATAAGGAGTTAATGGATGAATGTAATCGTTTAAAAGAAAGAATGTATCAGCATGAAAATGAGAAAACAGAAAGAGAAGTAAGTATCCAGAAAGATCAATATTTTTCAAATTTCCTCAAAGAAACTTCAAAATAATATTTGATTATGGCTAAGTGTGGAATCTAGTCGAATATAAAAAAAATATAAACTATAAATCTGCTTAAAAGCATACCTTGTATCCAGCAAGTGCTTTAGTTTGAGTAAAACCATTGTATCGCCTATGAAATTTTAAGAGGTTAAGTTACAAATTAATAGATGTAGACTGACCTTAATAATTTAGTCTTGTACTGTTAAAATAATCATTTTAATCTTTATGTCATCACATTTTAATACCATGATGAAGCAGGTAATGAAATGCTCATCCCTGAAATGTGTATTTTGAAGTTAAGATTCAATTAAGTGGATTAGCTTGACAGTTAATTCCAGATTTCTGAGATAAACTGAAGTGTAGGTATTGTAGCTTGTAATGCTTTTCCTACAGTAGCTTTTTATACATTGTTTGTTAGTATAATTTTATTTTTATTCATGTCAATTTGAATTAAATTTGGAAATATTTCAGTCTCAAGTCACGGATTCTTATGACCTCTCAGCTTCCTAAAAGGCATCTATTTTTCATTCAATCATAATTTGAGACAAACATGATGAGTATTAGCAAAACCGTATTTGACTTAATGTTCTCACTGCTAGTTACAATTCACTTTGAACGTTTTCACAAATACTTGGCTCATAATTGTCATTTCACGGCTCAGTTACTGTCATTTGGACCTCAGTTTGTCCAACACAAAGAGACTTGCAGCTCTCCATCGTTTATTAATTTGGCATTGGATCTCCGTTTCCAGACTGGCGAGGGGCGGCAGGATTCACGTGTGGCGGGAGTGGGGTTGAGTGGGGAGAGAGTTGTAGGCGCTGAGGTCAGGGAGGGAGGGGGAGGCCAGGTTACCTAGAGCCTCGAAGCCCATTGGAATGACTTCCTTTTTATTCTGAGATGGGAATCCTGGGAAGAGTTTGCGCAGAGGATGGCGTATGTGAGGAACTCTGAAGTTCATGTAGGCCTCTGATAAAGAAGAGGGAAACTGTTCCACAGTGTAGAATTGACCACCCCTAGTCCCACTACATCCTCATGTCTTTTTGAGATTTTCAGTAGGTAGTAAATCTTTGCGAATGCCCCGGGGGAATGGATGGTGGGGCTGAATCCATTGCCTGAGTAACAATGCTTATGAGGCAGGAGGATAATACCTTCTGTGTCTTTGACTGAATTCAGTGAACAGGAAGTGTACATATGAGGAAAAGAAGGTGAGTTGATGTGTGTGGTGGTATTTTTCAGAGTACATGTGTTAGAGTTGTATGTTACTAATGTAATTT